GGGGGGGTCAGGAGGGGACAGGGGTGACCCAGCCCCTCACCCGGCTGTGGGGGGAACACGAAGGGAGGGGGGACGGGGGTGACCTCTGTGCCCCCAGGCCGAGGAGCGGCTCCTGAAGAAGGTGCGGAGGAAGATCAGGAACAAACAGTCGGCGCAGGACAGCAGGAGGAGGAGGAAGGAATACCTGGATGGGCTGGAGAGCAGGTGGGGCCGGGGCTGTCATCCCGGCATTGCCGTTATCCCGGCATTCCCGTTATCCCGGCATTCCCGGCATTCCCGTTATCCCGGGTGTGTCCCCCCCCCACCGTCCCTGTCGCCGTCCCTGCAGAGCAGCCGCGTGCTCGGCCCTGAACCGGGAGCTGCGGGAAAAGGTCCGGGAGCTGGAGAAGAGCAACGGGTGAGGGACGGGGAGGGGGACACGGGGGGCACCGGGATGGGAATGGAGCCGGGACGGGGGGCGCTGGCATGGGGGCACCGGAAGGGGCAAGGAGCCGGGATGGGGGGTACTGGGAGGGGACACTGGGAGAGGGGCACAGACCTGGGAAGGGGGCACCAGGAGGGTCTCCAGGAGGGGCAGGAACCGGGATGGGGGTCTCTGGGATGAAGTCTCTGAGATGGGGGCACTGGGAGGGTCTCCAGGAGGGGCAGGAGCTGGGATGGGGGCACTGGGATGGGGTCTCTGGGAGGGGGGCACCGAGAGGGTCTCTAGGAGAGGCAGGAGCTGGGATGGGGGTCTCTGGCACGGGGGTCTCTGGGAGGGGGGCACCAGGAGGGTCTCCGGGAGGGGCAGGAGTCAGGATGGGGGTCTCTGGGATGGGGTTTCTGGGATGGGGTCACTGGGAAGGTCTCCAGGAGGGGCACGAGCTGGGATGGGGGCACTGGGATGGGGTCTCTGGGAGGGGGGCACCAGGAGGGTCTCCAGGAGGGGCAGGAGCCAACCCTGTTCCCGCAGGTCCCTCCTGCAGCAGCTCCAGGCGCTGATCAAGGAAACGTCCACCAAGGCTGCCCAGACCGGCCCCTGTGTCCTGGTACGGCCCCCCCGGAACCCCCCCCGG